AAGCCAGGCCAAGAGAGAAAGAGAGAGAGAGAGAGAGAGAGAGAGAGAGAGAGAGAGAGAGAGAACATACTGTATTACTGTATGATTCCATTTATACAAAACCCTAGAAAACACAAGCTAATCTACAGAGAGAAAAAGGAGATCAACAGCTGCCTAGAGATGAAATGGAGGGAGGAATGGATGAAAAAGGACACAGGAAACTTTTTGGGGTGATGGAAATATTTGCGAGATCATGGTTTCATGAGCGTATGTACTCGTATATAAAAACTGATAGAACTGTACATTTCAAATAGGTGCAGGTTAGTATACTTCAATTATACCTCAATAAAGATGGGAGAAAATCTTCAAGAAATGACAGGAATGTTCTTTGAACATAAAAAAAAAAAGATGTGTTTATTTTTAGAGGAGGGGAAGGTGACCAGGGTGGAGGGGAGATTGACAGGGAGAAAAGGGGCCCGAGATGCTGCAGCTGGAGCTAACAGAGCAGCCCATGAAGGTTCCCCAGTGAGGGCTGGCCCCAGGAGAGGGGGTACCATGAGAGAGAATACACTGTCATTGTTTCAGGCTTATATACTGAAGTGGTTGCCTCACAGCAGTATTTGCCATATAGATGTGACCCTCAGGCCTTGTTTTCTCAGCAAGAAAAGCCAATGCCACAGCGCCAAATGTAGTTCCCTTTACAATTCATTGACATTTGTCCCATTCTTAGGGTGGTCTCACCGGGCTTGGATTTCCCTCTAGGAAAGCAGTTTTCTTTGTTTTTTTGTTTGTTTGTTTGTTTGTTTCTGTTGGGTCACAAGAGAATGTTGAAGCATTCAGGGCCCCTCCTCTTGTAAAGTGGTAGATGAGTGTCTTATGACAGCTGTAGTAATAAAGCAGGGCAGGTTTTTAAAACTATTCTATTTAAACACAGTAAATTCTGTGTATTTATACGGAGCCATTTCCCTCCTCCACAAACACAGAAGACTAAATCGAGAAGAGCAGGAAGGAGAGACATGCCCCAGGGTCAAAAGTCCAGCCTCTGAAGTTCACCCAGACGGGGCAGTAGGGCGGAAGGGCAGGCCTGCAGCTAGGGCAGCCTTTCTGTCTCCCTGGTGACCCCATGGCTCAGCAGTTATCTTGGAGACTCTACTTTTGAAGGTTATGGAGGTGCTGAGTCCTCTTATCTGAACCCTAAAGGCCAGACAGGTTGCACACCTCCAACCTCCACTGCTGGACGTCTCTCAAGGACTCCTTGCTCAGTTCCCAGCCACACCTGCTTGTGTCCAGCACCTGGCCCATCTCCTGCACCATCTCGCTGGGCTCCAAGGAGCTCATGATCTTCACAGCCTCCTGACATGCTTTCTTATTTATATCACTGTCTCAGTGACCTGCGGTTTTCTCTTCTCTCCACTTTGCTTTCAGCTTCCTGCTGGTTCTTCCCGGCGGACGTGACACTTGAACACGTCCAACGTGAACACGGACAGTTGCAATTGAAGGTGAAGGACCTTTGCCTTCCTAGTGGCCCCTGCCAGCCCCGGCTGCTGCCAGAGCTCACAGCATCAGGCAGATTCTAGCGATTAGACACCTGTCTACATTGCCCCGTGTGGAGGGAGTTTCCTTTGGAGGATATACCCTGGGCGAAGTCGGTCACACCTGGGGCTCCACCACTGCTGCAGGTGAGGGGGTGCGGGGGCAGCCACAGGGCCATGTGGGGTGATCTCCCTCTGTAGGCAAGGTAGGGGACTGGAAGGCACTTTGGCTGTGCTGCTAGCCTTCCGTCCTCCTCAGGCCACTGATTTTCTGTGCTGCTGCTCTGACTTTTCTCAGAGTAGGAATTAAAGGTGGGATTGGTGGGTGGGCTCGCTGAAACACCACTGCTGTGGGTTGGCAGAGACCCTATGCTGTACCTTGCGGGACAGGTAAGGACAACAGCTATTGATGGGATCAGCTAGAGGAGGGGCTTCAGGGTGACGGTGCAGTCCTCGTAGGCCAGGAGCACACGGGTGAACATCACTTCATCATACTTCTGGCCCATCTATGAGTCCTGGATCCCTTCACACATGTAGCCCATGGACACCGTCCACTCAGTCTGCCCAGGGTCATTGTAATTAGTGGGGACTCTATAGAAGGCATAGCTAGCTCCTTCCCATGGCCCATGTTCATCCGCAGATCCTTCATGATTTTCCCTAAAGGGCCTCCCTTGATGGGGTTGAGGATGAAGAATTTCTTGAGCAGGTTGTCTATGGACATGTAGAAGGGAATATTGAATACCACAATTCTGCTCCTGCAATAAAAAAAATTTAAAAAAATGAGTAAAAGGAAAAAAGAATTAAACAAAAATGAGAAAAAGAAAATAATAAAGTAAAATAAGACAAATTAAAAGGAAGTAAAGGAAAGGGAGAAATGAGAAAGAAAAAATTTTAATTAGAAAAATTAAAATAAAGGGACAAAGAAACAGAAAAAATATGAAAAAGTACAAAAAGAATTCGGGGGGGGGGAGGAGAGAAATTGTAAGCAAAATAGACAAAAAGCCAAAGAGGAATAAACTTTGCTGAAAATCCCTCGGGAGTCTGAGAGCCAGCTTCCTGAGCTATAAGGACCAAAAAACTAGACCCAGCCAGGGACTCATATAAGAGGTTTTGGGTAGCTGTGAACCAGGAACTGCGGATGCAGACCTAATATCTTACAAGGCACAATGCTCCTATTGCAGTAGATTATGACAACCGATATTTGCCTTATTAGCAATTAAAACCACAGGATGCTTCAGTGGCCATA